TTTAATTAATTATTTATTTTAATTATTTGATTATTTATTTAATTTAAATTTTACTTAATTTTACTCTCACTTACCTAGGGCAGCATGGAGAAAACTGAAAAATAATTGTTCAAGAATCAAGAGATAATGACTTTCAGCTACTTAGCAGTGCTGTGTCACACATCCAGAGTTGCCGTTTTCAATTACTGCTTCAAGCTTTTATTCTGCATCTCGTCGTAACTCATAGCCCCTTACATCTAGTCTCCGCTTTATCAGAGAGTTCCTAATTTTTATAAATGTAAAATCACTTGGTTTTTAATTGGTACTTCCAAATCAAATACATTTATCTTGAAACCCTCAGAATTGGTGTTTCCTACGGAAAAAATAGTACTTCTTTCTTTCTGCATTAAATTGGGATAGCAAGCATCTGTTGAGTCTCATCACAGAACTTTTCATTGTTTTGTAGTCGGGAGAATTGAAAACAAGTAAATGCTTTGAAAATTTCAACCTTATCCTTACTTCCCTAACTTTGAGAACGGGATTATTCAGATAGGATCCGATCCTCCATGCAGCAGATCCTAATTGGTGAAGCCAATTTAACAAGTGAAAGGAATATGGTTGCACTTCGCTTGTTGACTTGTATCTTTGCAAGAATCACTAGAATTTATTTCTCACAGCTGGTGAGTTCACTGTGGTTAGTAACATTTCAACTTGTTTTCTTGGAGGAAGCTGCCCAGAAAAGCTGCTGCAGTTAATCTTCTAACATCATCACCTTGTGAACGTGGCTTTTTCATTCTCTTAAACTAGCCTAGATGGGAGGACGGTGGCAGGTGACACTGTGTACCAAACAGCGGCCCCAACGCCTGAGTAGGTGACATGCTGCTGGCAGGGAGCGCTCACCTTAAGACAGGTATGGGGGGATCGAGATTCTAGGTCTGTGCAAGAGCTGTGCAGAAAGCCTGAGTGCGTACCCGTTTCGTGCAGCTGCTGACGGGTGTTGCTGCAAGCTGAGAAATGTGATGGTATTCTGAATTCAGGCATGGCAATGTGTTGTAAGAAAATGGCTTTGTCTAGGCAAGATTAATAGTTGAACTGCTTCTTTTTGTATGGTCTTGCACAAATTCTCAAAATAGAAATTGGGGATCAGCATAGATTTCCTCCCTTCCCCCCTCCCCATTTAACAATTCTCATAATCTTGAGATGTTGTCACCTATGGATGAAACCTTGGGATGCTGCTTTAGCAATAAAAATAGCAATACCAGATCTTTATGGTGTCTCCTTGTCTTCACTTAAATGTTATTATTCATTCCCAAAAGTCAAAACACTGTTGTTAAAATCCTTTCAGTGTCTTTTTGAAGTGTCAGTGTTTGATGGAGACTGTTCACCACGGTGCAATAGCATTTGTAATCTCATTCCACGATTTCTGTATGGTTTTCCCAAACAGCTTGTTAGGCTTGGTTTGGGGTTTGCAGATTTCCTCCAATTATTTTTTTTGTTTCCCAATCTTCGTGCTCTTGGACCACACTAACTCAGTCTTTCTCTCTTAGCATATTAAAAAATATGTAAAATATTGAGACCCTTCCTACTAATTGTAACAGCCAGATCTCATTCCAGCCTCTGCAAGCTACCAGACAATGGAAAAGTTCCAGTTTTTCACCTAAAGGATCTGTCTTCTTGCTGCTCTTACACCCATGTATCTAAGCTATTAAAGAAGAAAAGCTATGTTTAAACCAACAGAAATTTCCAGTTGCCATAGGAAAGTCATCTAGTCATCAGAGAACTAAGGGGAAATACCATTTGGGCAGTGGGCCACCTAATACACTGCAAATACAGTGTATGTCTCTTAGTCATTGCAGGAACAAGTCAGATGAAAGTCCTAAGTCTCTTTATTTGTGAATTTATGCATAATTACAAAAAAAAAAAAAAGCAGCCTTTAACGTCACATAGAAAAAAACCTCCAACCCTTCCAGCGAAGAATTTAACTGACGATGTTTTAACTGCTTGCTACGTTAAAGTAATTACCTAAGAAACACAGAATGGAGATGGGAATGGTAAGATGGCAATATTGAAGTTAATTTGCATAAAAATTCAGGAATTTGATTAATTGAGCAACTATTGGGAGCAAAGCTTTATAGTTTCTGTGATTGTCAAACAACTTATGGTCACTCCCCCAGGCTATTAAGAACTGGTCAGTGCGTAGTCTGGCTTGCAGTATGCAGTGCCAGCGAAGGACGTTGATTACACTCCTCCTTGCAAGTTTCAGAAAACAAAACCAGGAATTCTGAGCCTGTATCTAGACCCTGAACCCATTTCCAATATCCTAGTGAGCCAGTTCTCCAGCTGCAATATTCCAATTTTCAGACCTTTGCTAGTATTTTTTCACAACATATTGTTTGCTGGTTTAATTCTAGCTTTTTCTCCTGATCCCATCTTCTGTGACAGCTTCTCCTATTATACCCCAAGGTCTGTGGCCTTTACCCCTACTGAGATTACAGGAAAAACTAACTAGGGGTCAGGAAAAGATGTTAAGAATTGGAAAAACAAAACATGGGGTGGTAGTAAGCCTGAGAGGAAAAAAAATAAATCAGAATACCTGGTACTTTACTGTGTAATTAGGATTGTCTTGGCCATCAGGAAAAGGCTTTTTACTGAGAGGGGGGTCAGTCACTGGAACAGGCTTCCGCAGGAAGTGGTCACGGCACCAAGCCTGTCAGGGTTCAAGGAGTGTTGGGATGATGCTCTTAGTCGTATGGTTTAGTTTTAGGCAGTCCTGCGGGGATCGGGGGCTTGTCGTCACCGATCCTTATGGGTCCCTTCCAACTGGAGATGCTCTATGACTCTATCAAAGAAAGAATGCTGCAGCTACGGGTGGCAGGACAGAGCTGAATGAGAGCCCCCTCCCTCCCTTCAGACTTCATTCTGTAGCAGTTTATCCAGGACACCAGTCACAGGAGCCCAGTGACAAATGCTGACAGCACACCTCACTACTGTAAATACCTGAAATGCTGGACACTGCCTGCAGGTGATCAGTTCAGCTGCCGGATCCGATGGTCTCAACTAAACCCACCTCCTGGTGTTCTGAAGCCAGTTTTCTCCTCTCTACTTATCAATACTTCCTCAAAATAAATTCTAACTGCTCTTAATTCATTTGCTTTCTATTTAGGCACATGTGGAGGGTGCTGTATAAAAATCAAGTTTTATACATGATCACCCATGTGATACCCATAAGAAACTGTTCCCCTTTGTTTCTGCCCTCAGATGACGTAGCCCCATGGAATTACTCAGACTTCCATCCAGCAGTGCCGTTTCAGTACTTTATTTTGAAAGACTCTTAATAGCTGGTTTAAAACAAGTGAAAAATTAAACGTTGAGTGTGCTTTATTAAATAACTCAGAAGGTAAAGCAAATTGTGCGATTAAGAGAGAGATCATCATGGTTCCAAAGGATTTTTACAGCAGAAAACAAATGGTGGCAAATGAGCGTTTCAGTCTAGCAGCCAAACTGTCCTCATTCTTAGGGAGTCAATTTCGGTCCTCAAACTGTGACTTGTTTTTTAAAAGATATGCTGCTAGAAATTCAATGGGATTTGGCGGCCTGTAAAGGAAAACAAAAAGGTAAGTCAAAAGCAATTCTTTTTCGCTATGTGAAATTAGGTAGCTGAAGAGCTAATTGCCTTCCCTTAAAAGTAAGGTGTCTCTTCCCAAATGCTTACAAGCACTGATTTAGAGATGACCAAGCTACCTAGGGTTACCCTGCAGATTTCCAGTGCATGTCTGATGAGAGATGTTTTTAAAAAGGCATCTTGGTCACTGTTGGCTCAATGTCAGTAAATTGCTACAACAGTTACATAACCTACAACTGGGGTGTCCTCTGTCAGCAAAAATACTGTACATACATCACTGGGAGTTACACACATTTGCCCGTTTCTTTAACTCATGCTATTTAAAGTAAAAGTTAATGTCAGTGCTTTCTTGCTTCGTTTTCTTCACATGGTTATTATTGTGTAGCTTTGTGCTTTAGAGCTGTTTCCATGGTTTCTGGCAACTGAAATGAACACACCAAGACTTCAACAAAAACTTCAAGTCTGAGAAGTGCTGTAACTTGGCAAGTAATCAGCAACAAACATTTCTGATCACTGGCCTTAGTCCCGAAGGGGTTTTGTTTTGTTTTTGTTTTTTTTTTTTTTAAAAAAGCTATGAATACCAGAATACATGGGAACTAGAATTGCACACAGTATTAGAAATATATGAACACTATAAATTTAAACAGTGGACATTCTGCTTGGTTTTACCCCTTTGATTTCTAAGTCCTACCATTCAGAATTTCTCTTTGATTGAGCAATACACTGACATTTAACAGTGTAAAGATACTTTTTCACAGGAGTAATTATCAACTCAGAATCTACCCTTTTGTCACTAGCATTAGAGTATTTACTACCCTCTTAGGTGCATGATTTTCTCTTTATTGACATTCTATCTTTCACTTTTTGTCATAGTTTCAATTTTTCATAGCAGTCTTCCATATTCACATCAAGTTTATGCAATTATTTACAACTGACCAACTTAAAAAATGCCACCAAACAGAAAACAAAACACTATTGTGTAAAACCCAGTATCATTAAATTTTGTCAGCCACTTCCTCAAATTGTTGTAAATAATTCTTTCCAGGATTCTAGTGTTGAGCTCATTTCACCAGTTACTTCTACCCCTGATTTCATTATCTTCCAATCAGTTCCTCATCCATATAAAGACTTCTCCTTTAATCCCACAGCAACTGCTCTCTTAAAAAGCTTTTGGCGAATGACTCTGCCAGAAACCTTGTGTAAATTTAAACAGGCTGTATCATCTGGATTCCTGTTTACATGTGCTTGCTGACTCCTTCAATGAGCTCCTAGAGACTTACAAGACCTGACAAAGGTTGCGTTGACTCCTCCCAAATATATCATTTAGCCATATGCTCACTATCCTGGATGATAATTTCCAGTGAATTCCAGGCATAGTCATCAGATGGACTGTACTGTTTCCTGAACATCTCTGTGTTCCTCAGAAAAAGAAATTAGCAGCCATTAGTTACTTTCCAGTTCAATTTTAAGCAGATTATACAGCAGAGCTGCTAGCTCAGCTTTGTCTCCCTGAGGTTTTAATATGCTCAACTGAATAGCCAATTTGACCTTGGCAGTTTGATGCTGTTAGTTTTTTTCCAACATTAATGTACCAACTCCACTCATGGGATGAGTCCCTGTAAAGAACAGCTCCTTCCACAGTGAAGAACGATTAAAAAGGAAAAGTCCGTCTGGTACCCAGGTACCCGGACTGCAAGCGTGGGGTGTCCACCTCGGGCTGTGACTGACACTCAGCCTGCAGCAGAACTCCCCCAAATGTCAACTGACGGTCTGCCCACGCCGCAGGCGTACACACAGGGTGTTCCTGCCTAGATGCTTCTTTGCCTAATTAGCTGTCTCCTCTTGAGGTTAAAACACTTGATGATGGTTCTGGCTGGAGAGGATGCCCTTACGGTCACTCAAACCAGCTTCCAATAACGTTATTACAGCAAAACTGAGAAATGGCTTACACACAGTACGACTCACCAATAGTTCGCCTCCACCAGAACACTAGGAAGTAATTTAGGTGAGATGGACAGGTGTTTGCTATCATTGAAGAATTCCCTTCTACACTGACAGATAAGAGATTTGGGGCACCTTGACAGCATAATCTTTACTCAAGGGATAACTATCAGTTTGCTTCTTACTATGTTGACAGCGCAGGGTCGGCCTTATCCTTTAGAAAGTGTTTTAATCTCTGACGACGTCAGGCCCAGTATGTCTGCCTGTCAAGCAGCAAGCAGAACTCTAATTCCACACTACAGAAATCTTGTTCAAAACAAGAACAACTTCTTGTTTTCCTTCTATAGGGTAAGTTATATGCTAAAATTAATTTAAAAAAAACCTTTGTCAGTACTATACCTCATTGGGAGGTCACAAATTCAATAAATAACACTTATCACACCATATGCACCTAAGCAAGGAACACATCCTGCATGGCCAGAGTAATTCACAGGTTCATCAACCTGTTGCAGTGACTTTCTTACAGCTAGCAAAACCACACCTGGCGGGCAAGGTCTGCAAAGGTGACACACCACCCAGCCTGGAGACCTCCTTTTTTCGGAGGAACAGAAGGACCATTGAAGGATCCTACCTCTCTTTTGCAAGAACAGCAAGTCCCTGTAGCAAGATAGGTACAACTGTCTGATCCAAGTAGGCACGTGTGGGTAACGACTGAAGATCCACCTTCTGCTTGGATGTTTTCTCCGCGTTTATTTTCTCATTTTCTACTATCCTCTGAAACACGCAAAAAATAAGTGAACGAACACTGGTAATAGCAGCCACATCTCTGGTGATGCACAAGCACAAACAAAATACCCATCTCTCTGCAATTCATGGCAATAACTTGTTTACGTATTTTAAGAAACTTTAAGTGCATATTTTTCCTGGCAAACAGAAATTAATCTAGAGGAGCCTTCTGTTAAATCCTTATGTTTGGGGGAAACAATGTTAGGAAGTCATACTTTTCTAAAACAGAAGACACCCAATCTCTAGAATTCTTATTTATGCTTTAGCATTCACAGATTTAAACTCCACGCCACTAAGACAGGAATGACTACTAACAAGAGTGGCCTCCAATGCTTCCTGTATACACACCCTTCTAACACAAAATGCTAAAAGCACAAGAAATTCAGGTGAAGGGGACTCTGTTGAAGTGAGACTGTGCTCTATTAAAGTTATAGGTGGACACTCTAAAGAAAACACAGGCAAAATGCTTCCAAGTGCCTTTTGGTGATAAAGTGCTGACTCACCTTGCATCACTGTACACTACATGCACAAGGGCCTGCAGTGACAGGACAAGGGGGAGCGGGTTTAAATTGAAAGCAGGGAGGTTTAGATTGGATATCAGGAAGAAGTTCTTCCCGGAGAGGGTGGTGAGGCACTGGAACAGGTTGCCCAGAGAAGCTGTGGATGCCCCATCCCTGCAAGTGTTCAAGGCCAGGCTGGATGAGGCTTTGAGCAACCTGGTCTAGTGGAAGGTGTCCCTACCCATGGCAGGGGGGGTGGAACTAGATGGTCTGTAAGGTCCCTTCCAACCCAAACTGTTCTGTGATTCTGTGATTAACTGTAGTTAAAAAAGGGTACCCTAACACTGTTGGTAAACCAAAAGTTTTGAATGCAACATACACAAATCTACTGATAAAAGACTTATTAAGTGTCTAAGGTTCTGCAGTAACGTATCCAGTGTGTTAAGGTTCTGCAGTGGAAGTTGTGGCATACAGGCAAGCACTTGTCAGGGACATCAGTCACACAGGATGTTTATGAAAAGTTTCTGCAAAAGCTTTGCATAGAGTAGGAGCTTAACGGAAGGAGACTGACAACTTTGATGAGGAAGAGTAAACAAATGTCATCGAGTTATTATTCTAACCCATGCTGTTACCCACAGTTGAGATAATGGATTGTGTCTGCTCTTTCTCAGCATAATTAAAGATAGCTTGGATTATTCCAAACCAATATGAAAAGAATCCTTCCCTTTGATACTTTCATAGAAAGGCCATCAACTCCTCCTATTCCCCTCCCTGTAATAAAGGTCTGGCTGACTTTTTGTGGCTTAACAGATTAATGGAACACAGCATACTTCTAAAAAACCCACCTTAGTAGAATGTTCATTACTTACTTCAGTACTGTGTAGTATAGTGGCAGCAACCCAACAGAAAACCTATTAATTAACAGCCAGTTCTGTAATGCTGCACAACTAGTATCGCTCAGTTTTGTTTCCATCTAACTTTCTTAGGAACATTACATTTGCTGAAGTTAGACTCAAGACTCAACATTTTTCCCTTTGATCAAGAATGTGACTTTCACGGTACTTAACAGGCACAAAATCTTTGTTACCTCTACGTTTTCAGTGAGGCCATATTCAGAATGGGGATTTTCTGGAACCTGTAAAATAATACACGGTCAGCAAAGTGGAAACGCTCCTTTTACGCGAGCAGCGTGACACACGTTATACATTTCTGGCTATACCTGCTGCTGTCCCTCCATAATCTGTTCTGCCTCCATGATTCGAAAAGTGGAATTGGCTGGACGCACAGTAATCTTGGAAAGCAATAAAAAAATGGGTCAGCAGGCTGCGATGAAGGCAAGTGCGGTATTGCATCACTCGGCTGGTTACTAAGGCACAGCTGGCAGAGAGCAAACGGAGTTGCGCTGTGCTCCCCCTCCGCCCAACTTGTGCGCGTCCCTCCCGCACGCACACCCGAGCGGTGTCTCACGGTTCGCGTCCCGTC